AAAACTTCCTGAGGTAGAGATGAAATGGCACCCGAGGTGGTGCACAACTTATAGACATGTGGGGGGTGCAGATGGTGGTTCAATTTCCTTGCAAACATAGTGGATGCTGAGTTGCTATGTAACAAGTACGAGGCCTTCGACCAGCGGAGAGCTTTTTCAGTCTTTTGGGAAAGTAGGGTATTAAATTCTAAACGCTTTTGGGACAACAACTGTTTATTAAGAAGAGATGGATTAGCAACATGACTTCTATAATGTGCTTCTAATTCTCGGGTAAGAAGTAGTATTTGTTGCCATCGTTTTCTATTCCTGGATGAGGCCATGGAGATAAGGCGGCCATGTAGGACTGCCTTATGGGCTACCCATAGTGTGGCTGAAGATATATCAGAAGTAGAGTTAGACTGAAAGTATTCCCGGATAGATGTAACCACCTCTTGGCGAGAGTCAATATCAGTAAGCATAGAGTCATTAAGTCTCCAAGAGAAGGGGGTAGGTGCCAATCCTATAAACGTGATAGATAAAGCCATAATATCGTGATCCAACCAGGGGCTCAGGTGAATGCAAGCTGTCCTAGAATTCGCTAATAAAATAGGGGTACAATAGATATAGTCTAATCTGGCATAAGAGTCATGGGGGTGAGAATAAAATGAATAATCTCTGGCTCCCGTATTGTGCGCTCTGCAGGCGTCCACTAACTGGAGGGCATCTAGTTTCTTAGTAAGGGATTTTGGGAAAGCCTGGGAAGATTGCGAGGAGGAACTCCGGTCCAAAAGAGGGTTTGCTACCAGGTTAAAATCCCCACCCACCAATAGATGGGGGGAAAGAACCTATCTAGAACATCAAAAAATTTTGAAAAAAAGGAAGCTTGTGCCGAATTCGGTGCATAGATATTAGCAATAGTATGTTCTCGACCTAAAAGGGTGCCTTTAAGAATGATAAACCTACTGTCCATATCACGATATACGTGTTGGACCTCAAAGGGAATGAATTATGTAGAAAGATAGCTACTCTACTCTTGGAGGAATGTAAAGTATAATACCCCTGCCTACAGGATTTATGGAAATATGTTGGGTGTTTTGCGGCTGCAAAATGTGTTTCCTGTAATAAAATAATTTTAGCCCCTAATCGCTTATATTGAAGAAAGGATGTTTTGCGCTTGTTTGGTGAGTTGAAACCCTGGACATTATACAAAATACATTGACATCTCCCAGAATTATTTGGCTAGGCATAAGGACCCGTGAGTCCACATCAGACAGATTTACAGGCAGTAGTACCAGCATAGGGGACATCCAGACCCCAATATGGGGGTCGTGACATCCACAAACCGGCACAAAACCAACATCATGCACTAATGCTTTGAAAAGAGAGAAGATAAAAAATAATAGAAGTGAAGCTTTAGCTCCTATAATTAAAAAGCGTGCGTCTGTTCTTTGTAAATTAAGTCCAGAATTTCCAATATTTCTTGTCACGCTTTTAAAGCGCAAAGGTAAGTTTCTTAATTTGTTGGATTGTGGTTATCCTGGCTAGCCAATGTGATCTGGTTGGGGGGAGGGTTACTCTTACAAAATGCTGGGATACATGCCTTAGCAGCAATTAAGAGATGTCTTAAAAGTGCATTTTTGTATTTTTTAATAGACAAGGGGTAATATGTAAACAGCTGCTGTAATCTCTCCAAGAGACACACCCGGATTATTTTGAGATTTGGCTACCATTGTCCAAACGTTTCTGTTTCGGGCATTCCCAAAATATGTCAGAGTGCCCTCAGACAGTAGGCATTTGATACTTGTGGGAACTTCCACTGCAGCACTGCCAGCATTCTGTACCATCTAGTAAATTATATGCTCCTCTCTGATACCTACTTGCCAAGGATGCCTTGTGAGCAAAAAGACCCTGTCTTTCTGGGCTCCAGAAAGGTCTGTTTTTCAACAGAGCAACCTGTCCTGCAGATGTTGCAGTTAGAGGGTTGAGACAAACTATTTACCACTGATAAGGGTGCTTAGAATGGTCATTCTTTATTTAAAGTGGAATTTTACACACCAATAAGTTCTCCGAAGTAACATTCATCTCATATAATGTTCCTTAATCTCCCTGCATCCCTTCATAAGCTGTGTAATGTAAATTATTTGTGCTGTAATCTTTACCTGTGCGCATGTGCAGTCGAAACAGTAATTTTGGCATGAGAGATGTCGAATTATACAGCTGGGTCTCGCATTTCACTATGCTCTTGGGGGAACTGGTATTGCAATAACACAACTACAATCTTCTCTGCATCATGATCCAAGTGGTCAGTAGTAATCCAAACTGTAAATAGTAGTCCTAGCTCTGTCACTGAGTAAAGTGAACTTGCACCCTCTCAACCCTGCACTGCAGTGCCTGTTCCCTGTAAATTGTCTCCTTCTCCAGGCTTCCCTGAATAGTTTTGAGCAGTAAAAAGCAAGTTGTGACATCCTGCATTATGGCCTCTATTGTTTTATTTTTAGAGCACAGGGTGCTCACCATTTTCCCATGCTTGTGTATTGAAGGTCCCCTTGTCTTGCCTTTTAGTGAGAGATAGAAGCAACTCTGTCGTCTGCACAGAAGAATTTGCAGGACCAGTTCAGTGTGTTGATTGCAGGGTTTATCAGCGTACCTAGGATTTCTGAAAGCTGGTCTGGGGCTCCCTGCTATTTCACCATGCCAAGCAGAGAGAGTCTGCTACTAATTTAGCACTGCTGTGCATAAGATTGTTTAAAATCTGACCAGATTATGAGGAGAGTATTGAGTGCAGTCTTTCTCTGCAAGACAGTGATAGCAGATGACAGCGAGGAGCTGGAGATTAGCTTTCATAATAGAGGGTGGTGCTCTAATAGAGGTCTGCAATGTGTGGCTCAGCCAATATATAATATGGTCTACAGGGTGCGGATGCCCCTCCCTCTTAGCAAAGTCCAGGAGGACTGATGTATTAATACATATTGTCTTTATAACTTCTCCTCTATGCTCGCTGAAATCTGTTCAGCTGGTATGTCAAAAAGAGCTGGGCATAAAGTGTATATGTGTAAGGTGGAGGGATTTCTTTAGGCAATATCAAAGCTGCTAATAAAAGATATTGTACATGTGCTGGAATTAGAAATTACCTAATTATGGGCAGTTGAATCTACAAGGAAGAGGGGCAGCCAGAAATAGTAAAAATGGCAGAGCTTTATTGAAAAGGGGAAGGAGCCTAGTTTTTATTTTTGTCTACAAAAAATAGATTCCATATTAATTATTAGTTTGTACTTTTTCATATATTTTTTTTTTATAATTAAGATTTTTTTTTTTTTTTTTTGTGGTCACAGCTCCACTTTAAGTAAAAACTTTATCTGAAAAGGATAAAAAAAAACACTTTCTGCAACTGCTTAAAAAGGGATAGCTGGAATTTCGCTTCAAATTTGTTAGTGAATTTAAATCTGCTAGCACAGTGGTCGGCAAGCCGCAGCTCGCGAGCCACATGCGGCTATTTACACCCTTTAATGCGGCTCTTGTGTGCCGGGCGCCCGCTCCCCTCCCTCCTCTCGGGCGGCAGGGACTCTGCAGCGTGATCCAAAAAAAAAACCAGCCAGGGCAGCGCGCTCAAATGCAATGATTGGCCAGTCTCGCTGCCACTCACATCCTGATAGCCAGTGATTGGCTGTCAGGATGTGTGTAGGCGGGGCAGCGTGACGAACATGAGAGGAGCTAGGCTCCTCTCACAGTCCGCCCTGAAGACCGGAACGGCGCGGGAGCACGGCGAGAGGAACGTGCGGAGCAAAGGTAAGTGAATTGACACTGGGGACTTGGCTTACTACTTGGGGGGGGGGGGGGGGGGGGGGATGAAATACTATATGAGGGATGTGGGGGATGAATAATGGGGGATAATATATATGGGGGATGAATTACTATATGGGGGATTAATTACTATATGGGGGATGAATTACTATTGAATATGGGGGGATGAATGAATTACTATAGGGGGGGGATGATGAATTACTATGGGGGATGAATTACTATGGGGGATGAATTACTATAAAAACTTATTGAAACTAAAAACAGTGTACCATCCTATGTATTTTCAGTTTTAAAAATGTGGCTCTCAAAATAAATTTCAATCGTGGTTTTGGCGAGATTTGGCTCAGTTGAAAAAAAAAGGTTGCCCACCACTGTGCTAGCACAACTGACGCTACTCTCCTCCAGACTAACAGTGCTGCCATCCAGAAGTCTCTGTTGCGGTTTCATCCAGAGTAGGGGCATTCTGTTACTGGAGGCTTTACTGCCCATATCACCAGCTGACATGGAAAAAGACCTAAAAGAAATGAATGCAGCCACCACATCTAATTATTGGTAATCTGCAATATATTACATTTTTGATTTTAAGTTTAATATTGCTTTAAACAAGGCATTTAGAAGAAGCTAACAAAGAGCACAAATGAAGCCTGAATTCTTGGCAGTTGAGAAAATTAACTGGTTTCTGATTATTTCTGAGGTACAGCAGTAGATGCCCTCTTTGTAACAAAGGTGCGGGGCAGACTCTGTTATGATCAGCAGGGGATCTGTTGCTCAGAGCAGGCATATGACAGGTCTGTGCCTTGTTTATGCAGAGCATACACAGACTGAGCCTGCTCTGCTGTATGGACCAGTAGGTGTAAAAGCTGTCCATTTACACCCAACTGCCCAGATGAAGGGGGACAGATCTCCTAGCAAAACGGATCAGATCGGTAGTAGGAGAGTGTAAATGGACACAAGTCTGTTTACACCTGCCGTTTCATAGGGGTGAATAGAGGGTCTGATCAAGTCCACCTAAAAAAACTGACAGGCAGATCTGATCAGATCCTTCGTGTGAAAGAGGCCTTAAAGGTGGCAGGCAACAGGCAAGTGTTAGAAAAGAAAGTCCTATAATTATAAACATAATGCTCTTTGCAGATTTGCAGTAAACTTTTTGATCAGGGTCAATGTCCAAAAAACATTCTATAGATGCATAGTTTTCTTGAGATGCTACATATGTTTTTCAGGAACTTTCCGGGTATTTTTGGAAATCAACAGCAACATTACTTAGAAGTAATTAAGAGAATGCTTGTCCAGTGTATGCAAGACCAGACTCACCCCCAGGTATTTATTGTTATGCAAAAGATTTTAAAAATTCACTGTTTTGTAGGTTAAGTGAACGAATTGTAATTGGTTTGCTATGTTCTAAAGACCAGATTGTTATTACCAGACATAAGAGCCTAATGATTGAAACATAACACTAATCTACAAAATGAAAGCAATTCAAATACCTTTTTAGAGTCCGCTTTGTGTTGACTATACCACATCCAGTCTTCCTTTGGGTGGGGTGGAGACTGTTAGTGATGATTGGCAGCTTTTGGCAATATCACTGGTTCCAAGAGCTTGTTTTTTTTCTGTATGAAAATTTGTCACTTTAGCTGTTCAGGGCTTGGTGAGAGCATGCCAGTCTTACAGAACTGCAGGTGTGCTTTACAGCATAAGTAACGACAGAAAAGGCTGTCATTAGGTCAGGTAGATAGATGCAGTCAGTGAGAAAATCTCACCGATGGGTGCATAAACCACAACAATCTGTCAGATTTTAACTGTTTCTCATTCTGACCAAGGCAAACATGTTTTGAAGTTGGGATATATATATATGATAATATAAGCTTACATATGCCAATTGTATATCCAGATGCTGTTAGATCATACCTATATTTACTTTCATTTGTATATGGCCAGCCTGAATAAGCCCTATCAGAATACAAACATGTGAGTTACTATTGCTATCTCGGAATTTAAAGGCCCAAGCTCTGGGAGAGAGATTGTGTTCACTTGCACTGGCTGCATGTCTGGCGTCATATTTGCTAGGTTTCTGTATAACCTTGACCATTCTGCTTTTCTTATGGCGCTATAAATACACTAGGTGGTGGAGCAATAGTCTGTACACCTAGGTGGCAGTACAAAATTTTTCTAAAGGCTTGTTAGAATAAAAGTGCTTGATGCACACTGTATACATGTTATAAATGGTGTGGGTCTCATTTTTTTTTTTCTACTTTTTTGTAGATAAGAACACAGTCTGCCAGGGCGGCTGCTGCATTTGTTCTGGCCAATGAACACAATGTTCCCTTACTGAAGCATTTTGCAGATTTATTACCAGGTATCCTTCAGGTGAGATCCAGGGATCACTGTTTTTCAGCTCAAACATTAAGCTTGTGTTAGACATATATTTGAATGTGTAAACTTTTCCTACACAGAACTTTAATTGGCAGTTATTTTTTTAGGCCTCCAAAACAAAAATGTGTTACTGTATCTCACTAGTTCTTAAATATTGTCTGTATTAGTTTTTTTTCCAGGCTTTTGTCTCTATTGCCATCCAGGTTGGACTTCAAATGTGTCTTTGTTCATCTCCATTACATAGGGGTTAATGGGATTGGTAGTTCACGCATCAGATTTTTTTTTTCCTGTCCAACTCAAAGAAAAGATGAGGATGCTGTATTTCTGGCAAGATTACAAGTATATTTTAATATGTATAGTACAGGACACAGGCAACCTTCTCAAACACCATAGCTTCATATGTTTAGGTCAGGGGTCTGCAACTTTTAAGACATAAAGAGCCATTTGGACCCGTTTCCGAAGGGAAAAAAAAGACTGGGAGCCGCAAAACCATTGCAACATTTAAAACAAATCCGACACTGCATATATTTTTCTTACCTTAATGCTATATACAGGATCGTGCAGTTAGCTTCATCCCCCATATAGTAATTCATCCCCCATAGTAATTCATCCCCCATAGTAATTCATCCCCCATAGTAATTCATCCCCCATAGTAATTCATCCCCCATAGTAATTCATCCCCCCTATAGTAATTCATCCCCCCTATAGTAATTCATCCCCCCTATAGTAATTCATCCCCCCTATAGTAATTCATCCCCCTATATAGTAATTCATCCCCCCTATAGTAATTCATCCCCCATATAGTACTTCATCCCCCATATAGTAATTCATCATCCCCCATATAGTAATTCCCCCCTATAGTAATTCATCCCCCCTATAGTAATTCATCCCCCATATAGTAATTCATCCCCCATATAGTAATTCATCCCCCATATAGTAATTCATCCCCCATATAGTAATTCATCCCCCCTATAGTAATTCATCCCCCCTATAGTAATTCATCCCCCCTATAGTAATTCATCCCCCCTATAGTAATTCATCCCCCCTATAGTAATTCATCCCCCCTATAGTAATTCATCCCCCCTATAGTAATTCATCCCCCCTATAGTAATTCATCCCCCCTATAGTAATTCATCCCCCCTATAGTAATTCATCCCCCCCTATAGTAATTCATCCCCCCCCCTATAGTAATTCATCCCCCCTATAGTAATTCATCCCCCCCCCTATAGTAATTCATCCCCCCTATAGTAATTCATCCCCCTATAGTAATTCATCCCCCCTATAGTAATTCATCCCCCCTATAGTAATTCATCCTCCCTATAGTAATTCATCCCCCCTATAGTAATTCATCCCCCATATAGTAATTCATCCCCCATATAGTAATTCATCCTCCATATAGTAATTCATCCCCCATATAGTAATTCATCCCCCCCATATAGTAATTCATCCCCATATAGTAATTCATCCTCCATAGTAATTCATCCCCCCCCATAGTAATTCATCCCCCATATTGTCTCAATTCACTTACCTTTGCTCCGCGCGTTCCTCTCGCTGTGTTCCCGCGCTGTGTTCCGGTCTTCAGGGCGGACTGTGAGAGGAGTTTGTCACGCTGCCCCGCCTACATCCTGGCTGCCCCGCCTACATCCTGACAGCTAATGTTCCACGCTCCGCGGGCCGGATTAAAAGAGTCCTGACTTTTGAGGCGGCCGCCCGAGAGGAGGGAGGGGAGCGGGCGCCCGGCACACAGAAGAGCCGCATGTGGCTTGCGATCCGCGGCTTGCCGACCACTGAAACCCTATTGCCTGTCACCTGGTGGGCAGTGTGCTCCGGAGCCGCAGCAAAGATGAAAAAGAGCCGCGGGTTGCCGACACCCGGTTTAGGTGATCAAACACTGGCAAGTGTTTGTGTACATGCCCCCTTGGCATTCCTCCTCTATAATCTTAACCCACTCTTTTTTTTTTTTTTTTTTTTTTTTTTTGCTAGTGTCTGTAGGTCGAGGGCCTATTCTGCCATCTAGAGAAACCAGCTTCACTACTTTTTTTATATTCTACATTACACAGAAGCAGTGTATCCAGATTGGTGTAACATCCGTAAAGCCTTGGGAGCCATTCCCGGAGCCCACAGTGTGGGAACAGTCTATAATGGTGCATTTGGCATTTGATCCTGCATGGGGAATTAGTTGAAGGACAGTTACCAATGTACTTCTTCTGTACACTCTTAGCCCATCTCCCACACTCCACTTGAAGTATCCCACAGGGGAATGCCAGCCACTTGTAGCTATGGCAGAGACCAGGCAAAAGGGAGAAAACTCTAAATAGCAGGTGAACAATTGCTTTGCTGAAGGTCCGTACTACACTCTGCCTCAATGACAATGCGTCCCTTGCAGTTGTAGCAGGAGCTGATTTTAACACCAGATTCAGCATCCTATTCTAGTTCTATTTCAGGCACGCAAGTGGTCTATTTTAACTAAAGTAGAAATTTCTGCATCTGTTAGTTTTCTACAGCAGACTATTTTTTACCCTTTTATGGGATTTAAAAGACATATACAGTGGATATAAAAAGTCTACAAACGCCTGTTAAAATGTCAGGTTTATGTGATGTAAAAAAATGAGAGTGTGGTTGCATAAGTGGGCACATGCACACCCTCTTTTAACTGGGGATGGAGCTGTGTTCAGAATGAAGCAATCACATTTCAAAATCATGTTAATTAGGAGGCAGTACACACCTGCCATTTAAAGTGCCTCTGATTAACTCCAGATAGAGTTCAGCTGTTCTAGTAGCTTTTTCCTGACTTTTTCTTAGTTGCATCCTACAGTAAAAGCCATGGTCTGGAGAGAGCTTCCAAAGCATCAGAGGGATATCATTGTTAAAAGGTATCAGTCAGGAGAAGGGTACAAAGAAGACAGTCATCACCAAGTGGAGAAAATATGGCGCAACAGTGACATTACCAAGAATTGGACGACCCTCCAAAATTGATGAGAAGAAAATTGGTCTGGAAGGCTGCCAAGAGGCCTACAGCAACATTACAGGAGCTGCAGGAATATCTGGCAAGTACTGGCTGTGTGGTACATGTGACAACAATATCCCATATTCTTCATATGTCTGGGCTAGAGTGGCAAGACGGAAGCCTTTTCTTATGCAGAAAAACATCCAAGCCTGGCTAAATTTTGCAAAAACACATCTGAAGTCTCCCAAAAGCATGTGGGAAAATGTGTTCTGGTCTGATGAAACCAAGGTTGAACTTTCTGGCCATAATTCCAAAAGATATGTTTGGTGCAAAAACAACACTGCACATCACCAAAACAACACCATACCCACAGTGAAGCATGGTGGTGGCAGCAGCATCATGCTTTGGGGCTGTTTTTCTTTCAGCTGGATCTGGGGCCTTAGTCAAGATAGAGGGAATTATGAACAGTTCCAAATACCAGTGACTATTGGCACAAAACCTTCAGGCTTCTGCTAGAAAGCTGAACATGAAGAGGAACTTCATCTTTCAGCATGACAACAACCAAAGCATACAGCCAAATCAACAAAGGAATGGCTTCACCAGAAGAGGATTAAAGTTTTGGAATGGCCCAGACCTGAATCTGATAGAAAATCTGTGGGGGGATTTGAAGAGGGCTGTGCTCAGGAGATGCCCTGGCAATCTGAAAGATTTGGAGTGTTTTTTTGCAAGGAAGAGTGGGCAAATATTTCCAAGTCAAGATGTGCCATGCTGATAGACTCATACCCAAAAAGACTGTGTGCTGTAATATCAAAAGGTGCTTCAACAAAGCATTTAAGGGTGTGCACACTTATGCAACCATATTATTTTAGTCTTATTTTTACTTCCCTCCACCTAAAAGATTTCTGTTTGTGTAGACTTTTTATATCCACTGTATCATAACAAATCGAAAGTAATTTTTTTTAATGTACAGAAAAGATGATTATATACTGTAAATATACTTTTTTGATTTGTTATGATATATATGCCTTTAAAATCCCATCAAGGGGTAAAAAATAGTCTGCTGTAATTAAATATAGGGACGTGGTATCTTTTGAGTATACCTGCAATTTTACATTAAATTGTTTGTTTTCTGGACAAATTATGGCCTTCAGTCAGCCATCTTTGTCCAATGCTCAAAAACTCCCTGCCTCCTTTTTTTTTTTTTTTTTTTTGGACCCTGAATTGCTGGCCCTGGGGGATACTGAATCAGAGGGTGATGAAGATGATGCTGAGGCAGTGTTGGTGGAAGCTGAAGATTTTTCTCTCATATGTCACTGTTGAAGAGGCAGCTTCCATTAATACACTGAACAGATCATTGCTTCTGTCATCAGAAGTCTTGGGTTTGTACTTGTGGATCCTCTGTCTACATATCGCTATGCACGCCAGTGTGAGTAATTTTAGCACTGGAGCTCCTAAACTGATAGCCTGTAGGGGCTTCTCAAGCGTCCCCTATGGAAAATATAGGATACTAAAGTTTCTCACCATTTCATAGATGCACTTGATTTTATGGTTTCACATGTTGCATATCTATTTACTCAGCACAACCTTCTTTTACTAAAAAATTGTGTAATTTATTGCATTTGTTTGCCTTAAAGTATTTAGTTAAGTTTGTGTTTCCTAGACCTATGCGCTAATATCGTGGCAACATAAATTGGAGCTACCAACATTTTATTCTCTAGGGTGTCCCTTTCAGAAAATATAGCCTTCAGGGCATAAAATTTTTTTTTTTTTGTATGCAAAAAACCCAAATACAACTCTGGCAGCAAAAAGGGTTAATGTTAGCCTCCTTCAAGGCAGTACCCTTAACCTAATTTCATTTAATTCAAGGGGATTGGTCTCTTCATACAGATGTGTTCAATCTGAAGTGCCAAAAATGGAGGACTCTGTATATAGACATCCTAGCCTCCATATTTCACAAACTACCTGTGTTTGTATCCAGAACAGTAATCTAGCTCTGGCCTTGAATGCTCCAGTTATCTTTTGGTCTTGGTTTAGGCTAGCTTATGCC